CCAAAACCTGGCCATGCAAACCCATTATATCTATGAAAAGAGCAATGAACAAAACATTATGTAGGAAGGATTTGCAGGTGAGAACAAAGTGTCAGTCTTGCTGTTACAGATATTTAAGGATTTAGCTTTGTTACAGTATCTCATGAAAGGTTATTCTATTTTAGTTTCAATTTATGTTCTGAACAGTTTTTAAGTTATCAGCTGACTCAGTGTCACTGAAACCCATCAGATACTCAATGCTACATCTTTCTAGGACTGGTGGTAGTTACCTAGCTGTTGTAAAATGCTAATTTGTTTTTAAGATTTAAGCTGTTATGTTTTGCAACACTTTTTCTTCTGGTTTGTTGACCCCTCGAATTCCAGCCAGTGAATGGGATATGTGAAAGGGGAAAGGACAGTCTCCTGTTAAAATGAGTGTTTGAGGATGTGTCTAGGGCTGTGATATATGCCTGGTCTACCCCGGCATGCTTACACTTTGTTTAAAACCCCGTTTTATAGAACATATTCTTAATGACGTCTGTTTCTGAAGTTTGGCTCTTCTTTGGGTCCTTTTTTTTTTTTTTTTCTTAGTATCTTAAAACCTAAATCCTGAAAGTTACCTGTGTGATCCTTTACTACAGTGAATCGATTTGCTTCCCTTCTGCTCTTGCTGCTCTCAGAAGGTGGAAAGGGGTGATCTTTAATCTCCAAATACAGTGTCCTTTCAGTCTCTTCCCTTCCTGTGGCATTCAGGAGTAGCCTTCTTCAGTGAAAGCAGTGCTGTGAAGGTGCCCCAGCGTCTGCTGCTTCCCTCAGGATTCCTGATAGCAGTGGAGGCAGTGACTGGCTGAGCTGGTGTCCCACAGTAAGTTGCAGAGGCAGTGAAGCCTTTTGTACTCTGAGGACAGCAGCGCATCAGTTTGTTTAGTAAGCCTTGTGACTAACATGGCTGGCTAAAAAGGGAATTCTGAGGTTGGATTCAGCAGAAGCTGTTGCTTTGGGCTTGCCAGCACATTTGGGAAACCTTTCACTTGAAACTGTTTTTTTCAAGACTTAGATAGAGCACACCATCTATAACAATATGACTTCAATATCTGAATGCCACTTCAGATTTACAATGTGTAGAAAGAAGAAAGTGCTCACAAATTAACCCGAGAAGTTCATAAACTGTTGTAAATGCTCAAAACTAGCTATTGTTGAACGTTTGTTTTCATGGGTGAAGGGTATCCCTTAGGAACTACTAACAATATGTATCTGCTTTTAGCCACTTCTTGTCAGAGTGCTGGGCTTCTTATTTAGCACCTTCTGTACAGAGCCTTTTCTGAAGTACCGGCATGATGCCATGTCTTCTGTCTCTGTATTGGGTATTGATGATTATAAGGTTCATTTACAAATGGGGCTGCAGAAGTGTCCTGCACCTCAGCTGATTTAAGAAGTCAGTGCTCAAGAGGTCAGACTGGGGGCTGCTGCCTGCCGCCGCTGTGCTGGTGTACATGCGTGTGTTTCATTCCCTACTGTGATTCCCATCCGCTAATCCAGGTCAATGTACATGCTTGTAGTTAACATACCGGCAAATCTGATGGACATAGTATTGTCTGGCATGGGGGGGTGATGAGCATCTGGAAATATTCTGGGGACAGTAAGCTCTTAGTCTACTTCAGTAGCAGCCAGCAGCATGATTATCTAATGGCAAGCCTGAGCACAGATTTTTCCTTTAATGGAGTCCTTTCAAAATAAGGATTAGGAAACAGTTCTCCCACCTTTATGCTCTCGCCATGATTATCTTTAGGCATGAAAAATAAGCTGTCAGTCTTAGACTTGCTCATATTTGCCACAAAATGCCATCCAGAAGTATTTTCCTATTAGATGCATGAGACCTGTTTCCGTGCCAGTTTGTCCACACATCCTTTGTATACAAATTCTGTAGTTTTTAAGAGTGGTTGTGAACCAGAAGGCATTTTGAAAATACAGTCCTTGGTTTTTAATGTTGTTTCAGTAAATTTTAAGCTCTACCTTAGGATGGGTAATACCAAGAGACTGAAATATTAGTCTTTGTTGCTAACATGTGATTCTTTTACGCTGTATCTTTCCAGATTAAATACAGATGTTGAACTGTGTCAGAGTTTGAGACGTCTGCTAGCCGATGAAAGTGTAATGAGTTCCCTAGATCCAGAAACCAGGTACTTACTAATGCCTAGATTTTTAGATAGTATATATATCATTCCTTATTGTACTTATATTTTATGTTTCATTAAATTAGTTAATACAACTGGAAAACATACCACATCTCTGTTATTAATTTATTAATCACTGCTAAATTACCTGCACAAGAGTTAGGAAGTTTGTAGTTGTGTAGTCTTGGAGGATGTCTCTCTGACTGTAGAGCGCAAGATATATTTAAGCTGAATAACTGAGATCTGCAAAAACAAACAAACAAGAAAAAGAACGTACAATTTTCTTCAATAACACCATTTTGATTAAAATGAGGTGCGGTATTGTGGTGTATATATCAGTGTTTTTAGCAATACAATTAGGGAACAGACAATATAACTTGATTTCAGTTTATAGAAACTTATTTATATTTTTTAAAATCAGATTATCGGTATGTTTATTTAAAGCTTACTTTATGATTGCTGTAAAATATTTTATTAGCTGCTTATTCAGTTATAGTTTTGAATTATTTCTTTGCTGATGTGGTTAGTCAAGCTTAATGTTTGAGTAAGTTACTTCCCTCCCCCTTCTTTCCTCACAATCAAGGATGTTAGATTTGAAGTGGTCTTTTTCTGATCTGTTAGAATAAATGAAGTGTCAAATTAAAATGGTAATTTGAAGAAGTTGGTTAAACATCTAGATTAATGTAGTGGAATTATTTTGAAGGATATTTTCAATGCAGATGACTAAAATAACTGCAAAGGAAAAGTCCTGTTTCACTGAGTAAACTGTTAAAGACCTAAACCGTAGGAAGTCTGTGTCCATAATAACAATGCTTATATAACTGTGTTGTTATTCTCTGTAAAAGATGTGAAACCTAACTAACTACTAAGGGCAAAATCTGTTAAGAAATTATGCTTACTATCAAATGAGGCTGTTTTAACGGGGATTTACTGTATTTTTAGGCGAGTGGCAGAACTTTTTATGTTTGATTTTGAGATCAGTGGCATTCATTTGGATGAAGAAAAGGTAATTTTTGGCTACAATATATGAACAGAAATTTGCCTGACTACCAAAGACCAGAAAATGAAACATGTGGGACATGAGTTATGTGATTCTGGGCCAGTTTGTCCTCCAGGATTGTCATTGTTCTCTGCGGAATTATGTCTTCTCAGAAATGATTAATTTTGTCTATTTTAAATCATTTCTAAAATGTGGGGTTTAATGCTGGTTTATATATTAGTTGGCTGTTCTCTGCAGTTTGGTCCTCATTCCTTTATCTGTTCTGAAGAGTTAGAAGCAAGACCTGGGATCCTGCTTTCTTTGGTTGGTGTCTGTATCAGATATTTAAAATTGCTGCTTAGCGCTCTGAACAGCCTGTTTTCAGAGGGGAAAAAGCAGCAGCCTATGCACTGTGATGACATGTTAATCAAGTGGAGTGTTTTAGAAGGGATCAGGTGTGTGTCCAGGCTCTCCTCTGGTGTTCACATAACCAGAAGTTGTAAACCTTGTTCAAAGTTGAATGTTTGGACACAGTCTGATCACCTTTCTTGGTGCTTTTACATGCTTTTGCAGTAGTTAGTGATGGATTTGCCAAAACCATCAGCTTTCACCATGCTTTATGGTATGGATGCTCTGTTGGATGTCTGTTCATAGCTCATGCCCCTGTACAAAGTTAATACCTTGTTTATTTGAGTCATCCCCTCCAAAAAGATCTGTACAGAGGCTCTTTTACCAGGTTTATGTGGTAAAGTTACTCTGAAGATCATGGTTGTGATGGTGTTTTGTGACCTGGAAAATGCTTCTAGAATATATTTTTACAATTACCTTGTACAAAGAACAACTCTGAAACTTGAACTCTGGGTTTTATTTCTGATTTGACTATTGGTGCTACAGTGCTTCATCCCCTTTCAGTTACAATTTCACTTACCCTTTATTTTTGCACGTTTTCCTCTTCCTCCCCCACGTGTTCCACTCCTATTGCTTGCTGGTCAGTGTTTCTTTTCAGTTCTCATTTCAAACTTTAGAAATCCTTCACTGGTGTAAGTTGAAATTTACTTTTGCTACAAAGAATTTCTGCTTTTTAAAATAAAACTCAAAAGATGCATTTTAAAGAGTAAGGATGGAACGGGAAGAGAGAGATCTGCAGGTTTTGCCATTCTTTGGGCTTTACAAGTATGTTGTATCAATACCCTCAGCCTTTTCTTTTGAGCTATGAACCCACAGGCAGCAGAGAGCATACTCTACTAAAACGAGCAAGTTCACTGAAACAAATCTTATAGTATTGTTAAATGTGTGAAATATTATAACGATGGTGATAAAACCCTAAATCACAAACTTCTCGGGGAAAGGTTGAAATAGCATAAATGCTTTGCAGTCTCCAGAAAATAGTGCAATACAAACAGTAACAAGAGAACTGTAATTCTATATCTATTTCAGGATAAATAGGATTTATAGGATACTGTAGGATTTATCCATCTCAATGATGTTTCTTTTTTCTCCTGTGTGTTTTACATAGCAATCGTATTAGGCATAGTTTTAAAAATGCTTTCCAAGCAGCTAGCAAAGCTTATGTAAATTCTATTTAAACTCCACTGTACGTTTTCTTACTGCAGAAACATAGATGCTTTCAAATTTCAATCCTGTGTGAAATCATAGATCTGTATGAGCATCTGATCTCGTCGACTTCAGCCCTTGATTAGGATTTTGTTGATGCTGCAAGTCTAATCTTGAATGCTGTATTTTCTGCTGCATTTCTGGAAAAGTCCTTTAAGGTTTTAGAAACTTTGAGTTCTGCTTGTACTATGTCTGAAGATACTATGTATTTTGTACTTTATTTTTCTTGCAGCGTAAAAAGGCAGTCAACCTCAATGTCAGAATATTGGATTTATGTAATGAATTTCTGACAGGAGCTCACCTTCCCAACAAGATTGACAAACATGTTTTGCCAGAGCCCATTCGATATAATTTTACAACTGAAGGCAATTACTTACAAGTTGCTGGTCTGCATGCTGATTGTCCTGATGATCTGGTGTGTATTTCCAAATTTGCTTTGGCATACTCTGTAACAAAAGTGCATATCAGTTATTTTACTTGTTGAGGCAAATGCATATGGTTTATGATTATAATATTATGACTATCAAGGAAGAACTGTTTTGGAACATAGTAATCAATGGCAGCCTTGGCTATAGCAGCTATGAAATAATGGAGGTGAAGATCCTGAACAGATTGAGGAAGACGAGGGGCAGAATACAGACCTTGGATTTCAGGCAAGCAGACTTCAGTTATTCAGTAAACTGGGAGGTGGGATCCCATGGGATGCAGCTCTGAAGGCTAAAGAAGCTCAGGAAAGCTGGCAGTTCTTTAAAGGTAGCATCCTCCAAGCGTTCAAGGATACTAAGATACTCAGTATCGGCACATCCTGATCCTTAGAAATCCAAGCAGATGTATCGGGAACCAGGCTTGGCAAGCAGGGAACTTATGACAAAGCTTCATCTCCAAAAGGTAGTAGATGTGAGGTGGAAGCAGGTAGAAGATACAAGGGAGGAATTACCTGTACATGTAAGGGATGATGTTAGGAAGGCCAAAGCTCAACTGGTGTTGAGACTTGCAAAGGACATCAAAGGCAACAAGAAGAACAACTTCTGCTGCATTAATACTAAAAGGCTGGACAAGGAAAAGGTGGACTCAGTGATGAGTAAGGTGGGTGACTTAGTGGCAGCAGACTCAGATAAGGCTGAGATGCTGATCGCTTTCTTTGTCTCAGTGTTCACCAGTGAGTTCTCCTAGCGCACCGTGCTTAGTGAAAGGGTTTTCAAAGAGAAGAACAACCAGCAGTAGAAGGGGATCCAGTTTGGGGATTAAGTGAGAGAACTCAACCTGTGCAAGTCCTTGGGACCAGACGGGCTGCAATCAAGGGTACAGAGAGAACTGGCTGTTGTCCTTGAAAGGGTTCTTGTCTTTGGTAGGCAGTGAAGATCAGGGAAGAACCCCAATGACTCTCGGAAATAATATGTTCACCCACGTTCAGAAAGGCCAAAAAACCCTCAGATTGGGGATCTGCAGGTGACTTAGCTTCACTTTGATCCCTGGGAAGGTTATGGAGCAATCCAAGTTAGGAGATTACAGTCTGGATTGGTGGACAACCAGATAGATAAAAATCCTCATTCCATGATCAGACTTGGAGAGTAGTGATTGAAGTGTTGTATTCTGCTGGAAGGCTGGTAATGAAAGAAGTGTTGCAGGGGTCTATCCTGGGTCCTCTCCTGTTTAACATCTTTATCAATGACCTGGAGGAAATGTCAGAGTGCTTTGCCTACCAGATTTGCAGGTGATAGCAAATTGGGAGGAACAGCTGATGCACTGAAGGGCAGGACTGACATTCAGAGTGGCTTAGAAGCTGAGGGAATGGTCCGGTGGGAACCTTATATCATTCAAGAAGGACAAATGTCAAGTCCTGCTCCTGGCAGAGACATCCTGAGGTCCTAGCCAAGCTGAATTATCCTGAATAGTCTTATTTTAGTTATTGCTAATGATGCTTTTCTGAAAATAATTCATTTAGAGTTTGTTTATAAATTGAAAATTAATTTTGACTCTTTGAAATGTGACAGTGGTTCCTTAGTCTTTTAGATATGACTCTTTTACTCTATGACTAGGTATTACAACACTCAAGTGTTCTGTTTTCGCTTACTATATAGTTAAATAAACGAGGTGACTTTGAAATCTTGTTTGTCACAAAAAAGACAAGAGCTTACTGTGGTAGAGCCCAAGCTGTAATGTTTACTCTCTGTAAGAAATGAAATTAATTAAATTATGGCACCAATAGGATGTAAATAAAGGAATAATACTCATTGCATGGAATGCAAGTCTCTGAGTCAGATCTTTTGGAGAGGCTCTTTGGAAATCATATAATTTAGGTTGGAAGGGACCTCTGGAGCCTGTCAGTTTGAGTCTGATCCTCTTCAGAGCAGGATCAAGTAGATCATGTTTCTCAGTGACACATCCAGTTGAGTTTTGAACACTTCCCAAGGATGGAGATTCCATTACTTCTCTGGGCAGCCTGTTTGACCACCCTCACTATTATTTTTTTTTTTCCTGATATCAAGTTGGAATTTTTCATCTTCCAGCTTGTGTCCATTACATCATCTCCTCTTGCTCTGCCCCTCCAAGAACAGTCTGGCTGCATGTTCTCTATGCCATACTGCTTAGTAGATAAAGATTAAGACCTCCTTTGAGCTTTTTCTTCTTTAGACTGGACAAACCCAGCTGTCTCAGCCTCCATTCTGTGTCATGTGCTCCAGCCCCCAAACATCTTGGTGGCCTTATGCTGGACCCAGTCCAGTACGTCAGTGTCAGTCTTGTCCTGTGGAACCCAAATCCGGACATTGTGCTCCAAATGTAGCTTGGAGAGTACCAAGTAGAGGCAAGCAGTCACATCTGTGGACCAGGTGGAGTGTGCTCTTTCTAAGAGCTTGGTACGCTCTTGGCCTTTGCTGCAGATTTCGTGTTCAGGGAAGGGGAATAATCTCACTTACTTTATTTGCTTTTTTAAAAATGAAAGCCTGGTGGGAAAGGATAGGTACAAAATGACTTGTGAATTATTTATAGTCATATTTTTTATAAACCCAGGACCTCCATTCTTGTTGAATATATTATCCAAGAGAGAAGCTTATTTCAAATGAAGACAAGCGTAAGTTGTTGCTGGATTTCTTAAACCTATTCCATATGTACAAAATAAAGATTATCTTCAATTGATTTGTGAAACGTAAAAAGCATTTTACAAAATTTTCTGAGGCTTGAGGTGATTTCAGGTTTTTTTTTGAGAGTTATGAAAAAACCCCAGCAAAGCAGAAATAGGAGAAAGACTGATTGTCTGTGGGCAGATGGGCAGACTAATAGCTTGCTACTTCAAAAGAAATAAAGCTTTTCTCTTCCTCTTTTTTCTCTCCTCTGACCCTGTGTCTGGTTCTTATCAGATCCTTCTCTAAGCCAGCTTAATTGACGTGCAGAGAACAATTTGGCTTTCTTTTGGGTTTATTTTCAGAAGTTTTAGTGAGTTAAGAGGGCCCACAGAGTGGTCTGAGAAGCACAGATGTTGGCAGGAGGAAGGAGGCAATGAGCAGAGAGGGGACTGTTGGCAGGAGTAGAGAACAGGACCCTTTTTTGGCAGTCTTGATCTGTTAGATTGTCTCATTGCATTTCCTCATTCCATCTTTAATGGATAAGAGAGCCATAATTGTCAGGCGGTCGTAATTACTATTGTTAAAGGGCTTTAGGCCTTTTCCTAACAGTATCAGTGAAATACAGCTGTAATGCCAGATCTTCAGTTGCACCACTTGTTTCCCTTAAAAATTGCACTGTAGTTATGTGACCTTTTTATTTTTTTTGTATTAGGTGCGAGAAGCTGCTTACAAGATTTTTCTTTACCCAAATGCTGAGCAGTTGAGCCGTTTAGAAGAATTGCTTGCTAGCCGAAACAGTCTGGCACAGTTGGTTGGGTACGACACCTTTGCCCACAGGGCTCTTCAGGGAACAATGGCCAAAAATCCAGGTATAAGGCATGTGTGGAAGGACATGCTGAGAAATCAAATGCACTGTGTTAGATGTGAGGTCAAAAGTTGTTAGTTTCTTTTGCTAAGTTTACGCATACTTCTTCCATACTATCTTATTGCAGTTACATTTTGCTGTATGCAATACTCATACTTTCTATAAATGACAATACTCACTTGAGTAGGAATGAGTGGTTTTGTTCTGAATCAATACTCACTCCTTAGATTATGAAGCTGCCGTTATCCCAGCATGTAACAAAGTAAATGTGGTACTAAATTATCTTGAAATGATGGCACAGTGGTCAATGGAGTAGTTTGTTGTTCTAAAAAGAACTTTGTTGTTCTAAGGGAGCTTGTTTTGTTTGGAATGTTTTGATGTACTTAACATCTTTTAAGGGAAGAAATCACTTAATCTCCCTCCCATTTTACTTCTAGAGACAGTAAGACAGTTTCTGGAGAAGCTTTCTGACCGGTTGTCTGAAAGGTATGTCTTTTTCACTAAGTCGTTTTTCTGCATACTCTTTATTTCAAGAATAGAGGGACTTGTGCGCTATTAAGTCAGTCAGTGCTGCTTATATGCTGTGATGTAAGAAAAAGCAAGACTTTCTCAGAGTTTTGAGCAGAGCTGTCAGCTTAGAAAAAATTTTCTGTCTATGATCAGACAACACCTAGGACTGAATGCAACAAGTGATGTGCCAAGAAATGCAGGCAACAGCAAACAAGACCACCAGGTTTAAGTGTTGAAGGACACTTCTCCTGGTCTACTCCCCATACACACAACTCCATGTATTTTTACATCTATAAGAAAATTCCCCCATTTGTCCTTCTTGCCTCCCTTAGTTCCACACAGCACAAAACAGTTTCATTGCTGTGTGTAAATGGGGTGTATTCTAAGACAGAAAATGCTTTGGAGGTGTACTACCAGAGTAAGAGGGATTTGATTTGAAGGTACCTGAATGACAGAAGCAGAATGGAGAAGTTCTTTTACTGTAGTATATGGACCTGCCATTTTATAGAGTGCTATCCATCTCTGATGATGGGAATTTTCTTAGGACTGAGTATTATTGTGTACTGTATTCCATTGCTCAAAAAATCTTTCATTAACACTTTCATCATAAAAATATTTTTCAGAACTCAAAAAGATTTTGAAATGATGACAAAGATGAAAATGAAGCTCAACCCTCAGAATTCAGTAAGTTAAATTCTCATGTGTGATTTTCTGTTCTGTTTTGTTTTAAAAATATAGTATAAGCTAACCTTGTTCTATAAGAAAAAATAACTGTATTTTAGTGTACAAAATGATATAAATAGAGAAACTTTCTGTCTTCTGACTTCAAATGCTTTTTGACTGCTTAGCTGCTACTTGTATTAAAACCAAATGTTGACTGCAAGATAACTGTTGGTTTATACAAAATGATACTGAGATAACCAAAACATAAAGTGATGAAAGTGACTATTACTTTGTTTTCAATTGACTCACTTGAAAATTAAAGACTGTACTTTAGGCTAGCTGAAAGTCCAGTTTGCATACTCTATTGTGTGTATTCTAATTCTGTACATAATGAGGCTTATCTTTTTATTTGAATTGAGCGTGTTTATTAAAATCTGTTATGAAGTCCCATTGTGTATTTGAGTAAGTACCACCATCTTCAAGCAAATGTTAAAAAAAGGTTCCAAGTTATGATATCTGATGCTATTTCTGATGATGTTTTTAGCACTGAATGTTTCCCATTATGTTTTAAAGTTCTATGACTTGTCAAACTGCAAAAATATTCAAACGAAACAAAACTTTTACTTTGGGTTCACTTGTCTGTAATTGTAATTATAAGCTGGAATTCTCTTTCAGAAGCTGATGCCGTGGGATCATCCTTACTACAGTGGCGTCCTTCGTGCTGAGAGGTAAGCTCCTTATGTTCATGATTGTAATGTAAATGAGTGTCTTTATTTCATTCCTTGCAATAAGGATAAAGAAAGTCCTCAATGTAAACAGGATTTCCTTCTTTGAAGATGTACTTCAATATGAAAAAATAAAGAGTATCTGGTGGTGCTGTTGTTTGTAATATTTCTTAGTTACTGCTGGAATGCTCGTAGAAGTTTTTGGCTCCTCTGTTGTTTTACGGGGAAGTATTGGCCCTCTTTGAAGATATAAGAGGATGAAACAGTTTCAGAACAGCTAGAAAATCCTTATTTTGTTTTGCTTTTAGCTCTTAGCTGAGCTGCAGTAATGTTTAAAAATAAACTTTCATCACTGAATACAAACCAACTCCTCTTCAGATTTTAGCTGTATTGTACTTCTTACTGAACATGCACCTATCATCCCCTTCTACAGACTTGAAATTGCAACTTCCTGAGTATATCTTCACTATTTATGGATAGAATTTGTTCCCATCTCTCCTGCAAAGACTGGGAAATAAATCCTCTACAAAGACTTGAATGGTGCACAAGACCTTTACACATAATGAGATGCCAGCTCTGAAAGACGTGAGCCCTGCATGTTGCCTTTATTAGATCAGCAGCGGTGACCTTTTAGGTTTGTGTTGGAAAAGATAATTTAAAGTTGTGCTTCTCTCACAAGAGGGGGAGGAAAAATCTTCCTTCACTGCAGATCTGTCGGTTTTTGATTTTTCAACAAACTTAGGTTGGATTTGTCTGATTAAAGTAGTAGTTTACTCTGGCTCAGAAAGCTATGATAGTATAGTCATGGCATGGAAGGATTGCCAGCGGTTGGCCTGGCTGTCCTGCTGCTTTCTTGTATGTTGTTGCTGAGGCAGTAGCTTGATGAGCAGCAGCTCTACTATTGGCCTTGTCTTAAACTACTGCATGCTCAGATGGCAACTGAACTATGTATGTGCAGCAGTGTTCGTGTCGTGGGTGCGCAGAACTTGCCGTGCAGGGGAGGGAAAGGGATGCCCAGCTGCTGGGTCGGCTCCCGGCAGCCGATGCTGGAGCATGCAGCACTCCACAGTGTATGTGTGGGTTGCTTGGTTGTAGCACAGCCTGGGAGCGGCTGCTTTTGTTTCAGGCTGGACAGGTAGCAGACAAGCCTCTGTGAAAGTAGGAGCAAAGCGGTGGTTATACTTGAGGAGAGTGAAGGTCCGTCTAGCTCCACATCCCATCTTAGCAGTGGTCAGTAGCGGCCTGTGGAAGAGTGCTGTCATATTTGTTCAAGATACTGTCTTGTAGCTTACACATCTTTACCTTGCCTGTATAGTGTCTTCAAAACAGCAAGAATTACATTCTGATACATAGTGCTTGACATAAATTTCATCAACATCTGAGAGTAATTGTCTATGTATCCTATTTATTTTCTACATTTCCTATAGTGTCTGCTTTTCTGGTTTTCAGAATTAGTGTGTCCCATAAGGGTTGGAGTGTTAGATGTAGAAGGCTCTGTGTTTGTTTCTTTCTCCTCCTGGACGAGTGTCTTCTGATGGTCTCTTATTGTCCTTAGATCATCTCATGAAGCTCACCGTATTGCAATTGAGTTGCTGATGATCACAAATAGATTATTCTGCTCATTTTGGCATTAGGAAGAAAAATATTTCCTTTCCTTTTGGGGCTTTGTAAAAGACCCAATTAAGTTACTTTACTTTAAGAATTGCATGGTAGCTTTATGGAGGGAGAGCTGCAGGTAAAACAGACCAAGACATCGGCAATGTATCTTTGCTCCTTTTTTATGTATTCAGGCACCAAGTCTGGCAGCTGGATCAGTGTGAAGAATCTCCTGAACGTATGTAGGGCCTCCCTGATCAGCATGCAGGATTGGGGCTCAACCTTTTTTCTCCCTCCAGGTTGGGCAGGAGTATTTTTTTCTGGCAGGTATACAAGCATCTCCCAGACAGGGAAGGAAAAGCAGTTTTCCTCTCCATTGCGTGCAGCAGTGTTTCACTAAAAACCAAGGACTTGTGTCTTTCACTGTCCTGTTTTCTGTATAGTGGTCTGTCTTTGCGAAAAGTTTTTGTTCTGGCAGTGACTTAACAATGCTTTACGTTCATTCTACCCATCTTGTAGGTATTTAACAGGGTACTGGATACTGGGTAATCAGCCCCGAAAAGTAAATCTCGCCTCTCCACTGCGTAGTATCAGCAGCTCTGCTTTATGACTGAAACTAGGCAGGAGTCAGAGAGTGTTCATACAACAGCCAGAGGAGAGGAGTATACCTTGTCATGTCTGTGCCCTAAACATCTTCTGTTTGCAACTTATTGTCTATGTAAATGTGAATGCAATGTCCCTTGTCTTGTATTTGTACTTAGCTTGGTTTGATTGCATCCTTTCTTGAATGCCCCTTGGATGCCGTGGTGTGTTTTCAACACTTTTGTAACTGGAAGATAGGAACCATATCTTGTCACAAAGCTTCATACTGGTGGGAGTTTGACTTTTGGCTGTTTGTTGTTACTCTCTCTCTCTCTGAGCCAATTATCTTGTAGTATTAAATTATCTCTCTAAAGAAAAGTGATGTTGTTTTCCTTGGTTTATCCCCCCCACCCCAGCCCTGGGAAAATAGTTTACACTTTCTGTTGTGTTTTTTTTTTTTTTAGTTGTATCACGTTTCCTTGTATTTATTTATAAGATAAATAAATTATTTAATTTAATTTTTACTTATTGTATCCTATTTTATTTTGCATTTTTACATCATGGAATGACAAAATACATTTTCAAACAAGACATATTTACCTGTCATGCATTTCTCCCATTCTTAGTATTCGTTTAGTAGATTATTTATTTTGTTCTCCAAGGGTTTCTCTTTTTTTGGAAGAAATTTACTTTTAGCTGTGTGTCTTCTACAGAAATGTCATGGTCATATTTGTAATGGTGCTGTGCACAGAGCATTGCTTACATTTTTGTCTGTTGTGTTTTGGGACTCAGTAATAGTTTGTGTGGTGGATTTCTCCACTATTACGAGTTTCTCTTTTTTTCTGCTTAGTAGAACACTTTTGTTGAAAGGGAAGCAAATGAATGCTTTTCGGTATTTCTTTTGGGCTGCTGTTGTCACTCTGTCTCCAGCTGATGTACAGAACCATAGTTTCCTAGATATTGTCAGGTACATAAGATGCAGGTTATCTTTATAAACCTAGGTATAAACAAAGAGACTACATGGGTTTAGTTCTTGATTAAATAACTTAGCAATGTTCTGGTACGTCGCACATGCACTGCGAAGGGGTGCAAGAAATATTGGATGGGACGGTGTCTGTGTCTGTTGGAAAAGGTTTCCCATTTCCTATTTCAGTCTATAGCACCACGCTTGCAAACAGAAATGCTGGGAGCGAACATCGGACAATGGGATCCCGATGGGACCTTTTACTTCCTCTTTAGTTCTCTGGATTTTGACCAGCTACATCAGTTTGTCTCAAATGACACTGAAACTCATGACATATTTTTAATGTGTATAAACATAAAACAGTCTGTAGTTGTATATTTTAAATGTATTTATATGTTTTATATTCTAAATATATGTTTATTCTATATTAGAACAGGATTAAGGAAACAAATGCCTTGTTAGATTCCTCATGATTAGTTTTAAGAGCTGGGTATTTACTTCTGAAGACCATAGGATATTCACATGCGTTCGGACTGTTGAATTTTACTGACATTTGCTGTCAGCTGTTCTGCCCATTTCTGCGAGCTGTTTTGTAAGCCGAGCAGCAGGAGGAGCCCCGGACTCAGTTCATGGAGTACGGTTTTCTTTCTGTAAACTTAGCCGCAATAATTTTGTTTCTGTCAGCTTTCACCAAGACTTTTCCCTGGAAACTTGATCCTACTTCAAAACTGTAAGTCTCCCATTGATGGTAACAGGATAGTTTACTGCCTTTTTTTTTTTTTTTTTTTAATTATGTTAAGTGGCCTCTCTGGCTTTAAACCCACACTTAGGACACTGTAAGGTTTTTGTAGCTATAGTTGTAAGTGGCAGAGAAAATAGATGTCAGTATAAATGTACATTTAAGAGAAACTGGAGACAAAAATCTGAAATTCATGGTAGTAGTATCTTAAAAGAAGATAGAATAATTAGGAGAACCTCAAGAATTTTGGCAGGCTAAGGGTAATAAAACAGTGAATGCTGGAACATGCTTCAGCCTCTAACAAGTAAGAAGATGTCTAATATGTATATTACAAAAATAATACTGTTGAGTTTTAGTGCAGGCAAGTACCATGGTATTAATTAAATCCTATTACTTCTTAGTAAGTGCAGCTGCAGTTGTAAATAATTCTCAAGGCCCTGATCTTGCAACTGGAAGCCTTGTGGTAGTCTTGCTGACTACTTCTGGGTCATCAAAAAAAAAACCCCAAACCAAACAAAGTTGGAAGAGACCTTTTGAGGTCAACTATTTGCCTTGAAGGTGGGATGGACTGTGCCTAAGCCACTTTGACGGAGGCGCAAAACTGTTCTGGAGTACCATCAGTGGTGAGCTTAGTGTATTTGGTGGTGTCTCCTGTTTCCCTATCCTTTGGTTCTTACCAGGCTGGGCTGACTTCACTGGCTATAATTCACTGTTGGGATTTTTGCCACAATGTCACAGATTTTATTCAACTTGCAGCTGGGGTGTGCTTGTAGGGTATTGCACTCTGCTGGTCCGTCTCTTTGGGACTGCAGAGCTCAGTAAGAGTGGCCTTGGGGATGAACAAATTGGTGCCCAAATAAGCCAGTTTCCTGCTGTGTAGGAAAGAGAAGCCACCATGGCAACTGCAGGCGTTTCAGACCGCGGGGGGACGAGCTGAGCTGAAATGAGGAACCCATCATCTCCTTTCTCCTGGGGACTGTGCACGGGCTGCCAGCTTCGGGGAGAGTGGGCAGCACCCTTGGTTTTCAGGGGGGTAGGTTCACTACCAAGGTACCTAAACATGACTGGATGCTTCTCAAGTTGCTAGAAGCTGCCACTAATGTTGAGGGTTGCAAGTTACTT